GATGCTACTAAAATGACTAGAGCACAGATTCAAATTTATATAATTAAAAAGTTTATAATATTAGCATAGACATAAAAGATATTAAGACGGAAAAACTAAAGATTTTTTTTTTAATTAAAAGTAGATGATTGATTGCTGAAAACTTATATATGCGATAAAATGACGAACCGACTTTCACCATTCTAATAAAACCTGCATTTTATACAATCACAAATATAACTAATAGCCGTTTAAAGTATTTATTTTTATCGTTTTGTTACTAATATTATCAAATATATAATAGTAACGAGACTGGGTATGAATAAGAAAAAAAGTTAAAAGGCAACGTCATATTCTCCGTTCCATATATGTGTACGTTAAAGTAAGAGCTCACGTATAGTCAGCATGTCACACTCATTATATTTTTATTCGTCAATATGCCTTTTACAATCATGCTATGTATTATGGCATTTTATTAACGACTTTTAATTGGTCCATATCTTTTTATTATAAAACTCGAAATTATTTTTAGAAACATAGTGTTACATCATAACTTTAGATTTTAGCCTAGACTCACACATACACACGATCTCGGGTCCCCCGGTTTTATCTCGTCTCCTCTACACTGATGTCGTCATGATATTTATATTTCTTTGTGTGCCAACTAAACTATATTCGCAAATTTGTAGAAGCTATACATTTTGCACTTTGCGTGAAAAGAAGGGCAAAAGATCATTCCCGTATATATTTAGAATTTTACGAGTCACATCTCACAACTTATTAGTAAAGTAATACGCTACACATATGTCGTATACCAAACTGGCGGCTGGTGTTTCAGTGATCTTGTACACCTAGAGATGTCTAACCATCTAATTTTTAGATAATTTGATTAAAATGCTAGATAACATTCTAAAATTATTTAGTGATCAGGTATATCTGAAAATGTATAAATGTAAATATAAAGTAGAAGATTTTTTTTTGGTTTCCACCTGCTGATTGATCATATGATTGTTGTTTTTTATATCAAAAGTTGTTAGTTTTAGATCTACACAACAAGTGCATGCTTGTCATAATTTGGAAACCTACATTTGTATCGTTCTTGAGATATCATAGGAACTATGAAAAAAAGAAAGTTAATCATATCACCGAAAATCAAATATTCAAGAATATGTTTGATATCAAACTTACATATGGGACGATAGTATGATAAATACCGACTACTAGAGTTGACGTGGCAGATGGTTGTTTTGTTGGCAAGGAAGTGAAGTTGCTAATTCACAGAGAAGTTTTGTTGTTACTGAACATAGAGAATATAAAGAGAGCTTTTTACCTTTACGGTTGGATTTGGATCATCTTGTAATTGGGATCAGAAGAGTGTCTCTACATTTGAGGCAAGTTCAGAGAGGTTTCTCTGGATTTGAAGGACCTTGACGTTAGGATTCATAGCCTTCTCGTTTTGGTATTGTTAAGCTTCGTACGATAAGCAATAAAGTCGTATTTTCCATCTTAGAGTATTATCATAGTACCTAGAAACTTAATCGAGACTAAAGAAAATTTCAAAGTGTGTTTAAATTTAAATAAAATGCGATTATATAGAAATTTAGAATTGCCTAGTAGTAATGAGATACCATGATCTATCGCATTCACACCATCTTGACTGCTTCTATCCAAAACACCTTGTAGACTGCTAGACTGCTCCGATGCATGCAAATACACAGTGTATATTGCACCTATTCGCATACACACCAACGCAAACTTGACCTTCGTTTACACTTATTATAGAAAACTTATTAATCACCAAAATGATCCGTCTAATGCAGTTTAGTTGCCATGAACCCGTTAAACACTGGTTAACATCTAACGTGGTAATGTGTGGATTTAAGCTAGAGGGGACGCTCGATTTGTTCAAATAACGTTTTAGTTTCATAATGTAAAATCATATACATAGGGACAACCTTTCAAATCCTCGATTATATCTGCTTAATCATGTTGTAGAATCGCGTATTCGAGATAACTAATAAGTCAAAAGTTTCATACATTTATTTTAATTTTGAGAGACATCAAAAAACAAATTCGACACGATTCCTACTGTACAATTCCTTGGAAGCAATGGAACGACTTCCATATAAAAACAATGGAACGAACAGCGCTAATTTAAAAGTGGGCCATTCAATTATTACAACATAGGAAGAGAGCTTTATGAGAACACGAGCCAGATTCAGTTAATCATGTCTATTTTTGGATATATTGTTAATTTAATTTTGTTTTTAACCAAAGGTTGTGTACAAATCACCCATCAAAGTCACATCTCATCTTACATTCACATGTCCAAAACTATTCATTTTACGCTACAAATCAAGTTAACATTTAACTCATATCTTCTAAATTCTTCTGCAACTCTAATGCCAGCTTGCACAATGTTTTTTTATATATTGCCTAAAGTCAATGCATAATAGTATAAACTGGAACCATTAATGTTATTTTTGTTTGCTCGTGTCTGCTCAGTAGTCCTTACCATCAAGATATTTTAAAGTAAACATACTCTATACTCTATAGTCTCTACTCTCAAATACGAGAGAAGGAGCGGTTTAGATATTTTGGGCCTCAAGAGGGAGAGAGGAGCAATTGTTTAAATAGTTTGGGCCTCTGGTAGTAAGAAATTATAGTTATTGGGCTATTACACTTAAAGCCCGTTTTTAGTAGCCCGTTTATAAACTATCTATTCCGATATGGACGGCTAGGAAACGTCAGTAGCCCAGCTATCAAGTAAGGGTAAAAGAAAGAAACAGCAAACCAACCGGTTCTGGTTCATGATTCTAATTGGTCGGTAAATTCAATGGATCTTTTTCTCCTATTCATTGGTTCAAAGTTCAAGATATGACTATTATTAGAATCAATTAATTAGTGGCTAAAATAGAATTACTTTTTGTTTTCTCTGAATCTTTTGGAATTTACTATTAAGTCATTTAAAATTTTCGATTTACATGGAAATTTCTGTAATGTTTGAATATTTCTTCAAGATATAATTAATGAATTTATGAAGAAAGAACCAATAAAATCCACGTCAGATGGGAGACTGAACGCACGCACTTTATATAAAGCGCGTGGTCATTTGATAAATAATATCTCGTGGGTGCGTGCTTAGCTGTCGTGGATCCCAGAATTTGTCTGAAAATTGTCCCCACTTCAGTTGTTGGGCTTATACGCCACCCTTAATTAGCATCCATATTTATATTTAATACAGATATGAACTCTTTTCTCTTTATATGACTTTTTGTTTCTTGTAAGAAAAAAGTTTTGCAAGTTTCTATGTAAGTTTTTTTTGTATAATATAATGTTAAAGAAGTGATGAATAATAAAAATAGTTAGTTCACAAATCTCATGATGTGTGTAAAAAGGGAAACTTATAGTAAATGAAAATGAATATTAAACAAGAGATGAAAGAAAATGTAGGTTGGAAGAATTTGGCCCACGGCATAATCAAAGCTCAAAAGGGCTATATATAAAAAAAAAAGAAAAGGAATGCTCAAAATGGGCTCCAACGGTCCAGATTTGATCCACTGGTTCTAAAAGTATATAGGCAAAAAATGCACTCATTCACTCAATAATTGTGTATTATTTTACTCTTCTTGCCTGAGCTCTCTCTATCTACCCCTCTTTCTCATTCTTCTTTTGTTGGTCATGTTAATGTTCTTATCTGTTTCTTAGAAACCTGATTCTTTTTTTTCTTGATTTGTGTTGGCAAGTTTGAATTAGTTTTATTTTTGTTTTCTTCTTTTTTCTTGTGTGTGGTCGATCGTAAGGGTATAGTTAATGTCTGTGATAGGTGAATGATAAGGTCACAAAACAGTCAATATTCTGGGTAAGTTATGCTCCACACATAGCCATGATTTTCTTGGTAATAACCTCTCTCCCCTTTTATCTTTACAAACTCTATATAATAAATCGTTTTTTGTCTGAAAATTATTTAAATCGGTTTTTTCTCTTATCAAAATTATAATAAATCGTATAGACTATCGAAATTATTATATATAGATATATTTTTTATATCTTTTTTTGTTTAAAAAAAGATACTGTATATTTTTTTTAATATAGATATGTCAGGCGTTAGCAATTATAGCCCAGAGATCTGAAAGGAGAAGCCAGCCCATTGGCGAATTGGGTTCATAAACATGGAGGGTAGTGTCGTAATATGCATTGATAGGTGTTGCCCTAAATTCGGTCGCTGTCTAGTCGGTGACTGTGTGCTGTCATGTAAAAATGAATTTTCTTTTTGTATTCTCTCTTGTTCTTGTCGGAAAAAAATTAAATTTGTGATCGATTTATAATTGCAGTTTGTACTTGGTAAATTTAGATAATTTTTCAAAAATATTCCTATCAGTATGTATGATGTATATATAGTCTTGCATAATACTTAGTGAGCTTAGAATAATTAAAAGTTTAAAGAGTTAATCAAAAAGGTAATTCATTTACGTGAACGAGATCCTACCTGTCTACACGTGGCTATAGCTGACCTGGAAAGAGAAAAGCGACCAATGAGAGAGTCTGAAACCAATAAACAACAAATTTGAATAAAGAAGAAAACGTCACAGTGGGACCCATCCGACATGGAAATTTAAACAAAACAAAAAAAAGAACTCACGAACAAACGGCTAAAAACACGCCACGTGCTTAACTACGCGATCTGAGCCACTCGTGGCAGATTTCCCGGGCAGCTGGCTCGGGCAGCTTCACTTAGCGTATCTAAACCGTCAGATCCAAACTCAACGGCTAGATTAAAACAAAGCGTAAAATCGGTCAGATTCCAGAGGCCTTTAAGTAGAGATGGTGCCTCCCATCTTTTTCTTCATCCCAGTCATCTCAAACCCTCCCCCTCCCCTCTCCACCGTCAATCTCTCAAAAATCTCTCTTCCCGATCACCGGAATTTTCCCGCCCTTTTTTTGGAGGTAAAAACCTCTCTTTTCTTAAAAAAAAAAACTGAGTGAAACTGCGAAATGACCTTGAGACCATCGCGATTCGCATGGCACCAGCTGTTTTGTCTACTTTAAACGAACCATCGTTACATGGACAATGCGGCGCCGTTTTTATGAGAAAATTTACAAAACAACCCCTCCCCGACAACATCAATAACAACCCTAACCCTAATTTCGATTCGAACAAACAGTTCAACGATTCGTTAAATTACAGACACTACGCTACTTTCAACATCTCCACCTACACCCCGAGCCAGCTCAAGGAGCTTAAGAAGCGATTAACCTCAGAGCTCGAGCAGATTCGGATCTTTCGAGAACGGATCGAGCAGAAACCGAAGAAACGATGCAATCCATTTCCTCCAGAAGATACCCACCCGAAACGTCTCTCGAATCCCGAATCCGAGAAATCTTTAACCGTTACGTTAAACACTTGCAGCCAAATGTTGGTGAAACTGATGAAACACAAATGGGCCTGGGTTTTCAACACTCCCGTCGACGTAATGGGCCTAGGTCTTCACGATTACAATCTCGTCGTTAAAAAGCCCATGGATCTCGGCACGGTTAAATCAAATCTCGAAAACGGTTTTTACGACTCCCCGATTGATTTCGCGGAGGATGTTAGGTTAACGTTTACCAATGCGATGTCGTATAACCCGAGAGGACAAGATGTTTACTTTATGGCTGAGAAGCTTCTGGAACAGTTTGATTTGATGTTTAATCCCGTTTTCAAGAAATTTGAAGCTCAGCAACTGAAATTGGATTCAGTTAAGCCGTTACAACAACCTACATTGTCAGTTGAGCAGTCGCCACGTGGACGAACACCATCTCCTCTTCAGACTCAACTGGAGCCACTAGTGGGAGCAGCTCCTGATTTGAGTAAAGGGAGGAGAGTGAAGATGCCGAAGCCTAAAGCGAAGGATCCTAACAAGAGGCTGATGACAATGGAGGAGAAGGGGAAGCTTGGTGTGAATTTACAAGATTTGCCACCGGAGAAGCTTGGACAGTTGGTTCAGATTTTGAGGAAGAGAAACGGTGATTTAGCTCAGGATGGGGATGAGATAGAGTTGGATATTGAAGCTGTGGATAATGAGACTCTTTGGGAGCTTGATCGTTTCGTGACGAATTATAAGAAGATGGTTAGTAAGATCAAGCGACAAGGGTTTATCCAGAACGTGTCAACTCCAAACATGGTAAGCATCATATTCATATCGTAACCGCTATTGTGTTTTTGTACTTAAAGTGTTGTCTTTTCTCAGGGTTTGGAGGGAGAAATGGGTAGTGCGGAGAAGAGAACAAGGAGAGGGGATGCAGGGGAGGAGGATGTGGATATTGGTGAAGACATGCCAATTGAGGATTATCCATCTGTAGAGATTGAAAGAGATGGTACTGGAGTGGCAGGTGGTGCTAGTAGCGGGTCTAGCTCTTCAGGCAGTTCTAGTTCTAGTAGCGGTTCTTCCTCTAGTGGTATTTTACTTTAACTATTTTCCAAATTTTCTGCCTCTTATGACCAAAAAGTTTCGCATTTACTAACAACATTGTATGGTTATTGATGCTAATGTGCAGATTCAGGGTCAGGTGGGAGTTCATCAGGTAGTGATTCGGAGGCAGATAGTGTTCAATCGCCGTTTGTGGAAGCAAAAGAAGCCCAATGATAGAATCTTTTGGAGATAATTTTATTGCTCTGCCTTCAAATGCCGAGAGAGGTGGAACTGTGGGTGTAGAGGGAGGAAACCATAGGAAGCAGGAATAGTTAGAGAAGAAGATGATATGGTTAGATATAGAGAAATGATAGTTTGAGGAAGAAGAGTTCGTTATTTAATTCACCTTTTAGATTTAGGAAGTTGTTTTATTGTATTTGTGAGATGATGAATAGGGAGGGAAGGTGAATTTAGGAGAAGAAAGAGTTAATTCAATGCTAGTGTAACCGAGTGATGTAAATGGTTGGAAAATCTAAAAAGAAAAGATCTCAATTGTTGAAAAAGTTTTGAGTTTTTCATCTTATATTAATGTAAACAATGGAAGACTATAGTTTCTACCAAATGCTATGCAAATAAAAGAAGACTCAAGCAGAAGCAGAGGCAGCCAAGAGTCCATTGTGTCTGAGTAGAGGCTCTGGTGAAGGTTCACGTCCTCTGAACTCAACAAACACCTGAACATAATTTTTGAGTCATTAAGAAATGTATGAATAATTGACCATACTGAATATATTACATGATAACAAAATAATTGGCCATACCTTGAGAGGCGCTTTTCCTCCTCCAAGTGCAAGTACTGTGTTTCTGAATCTCTGTCCTGTTTCTTTCACAGCCTGTTTGCATCAAAGAATGAAGTTTGATGATCTTCTTTGTGTCTTTACCAATATATTTAAGCATATAGTATTATATATATAAGTACCTTGATGTCGTCCAGTCCAGCGTCTTCAAACGCTGAAAATGCATCTGCAGACAAAACCTCTGCCCACTGCAAGTTTGTTTTCAGAAATTTGGGTGAGCATATTTATAGCCGATTGGATTTTTTGTTACATAAAGAGATCCAGAATTTTATATACCTTGTAACTGTAATAGCCAGCTGCATATCCCCCTGGAAGTTCATGAACATGTGTGTATAGGTGAATGGTTACGATAAAATAAGAAAAAGCACAAAGATATACATCTCTCAGAGTTTCATGACTGAGGATTGTTACCTGCAAATATGTGACTGAAGCCACAGAGGAATCTATCCTCAGGAAGTGGAGGGATAACTTGGGTTTTTACTGATACCCTTTGATCTACATCGTAAATGGACTCTGGTCCACCTGGTATGTATTTTGTGTGCAGCTCCAAATCAAGAGTGGCAAATTTCAGCTGAAAACATGAAACCATCATTAATACATGACGCAAAGCACTTAAACTTTTGATGCCATGGAGTATAAAAAAAAAACATTCACCTGACGAAGACTAAAAGACCCTGCACGGAATGTTCTTGCAGCTAGGAGTTTCTTGTATACTTCCTCTGGGAGTGTTTCTCCTGTTTGATAATGCTTCGCAATGCTCATTAAAGTGTCCCTGTAAACAATCATAGCGCTGCTTTTACTCCCCCACTAAAAAAAACATTACAAAGAATGTAACTCGTAACAAAACTCGTAAGTACCTGTGGTAGCACCAATTCTCCATAAACTGTGATGGTAATTCAACAGCGTCCCACTCTACATTTCTAATACCAGCCACAAGCCCCTCATCCTGCTTGGTAAGCATATGCTGGAGAGCATGTCCAAATTCATGAAACACAGTCTCTACCTGCATATATTAGCGTTAAATGAAGTCAGCCATTTTTTTTTTGAAAATTTTATGTAATACTAAGATATGAGCAGGTTTAAAGGATGTTAAACAATCTTCTGTTTTTTTTTTTCTTACCTCACGGAATGTCATAAGGCTTGGCTTGTCACCTACTGGAGGAGTCTGGTTGCATACCATGTGCGCAACAGGCAACCTAACGGAAGTACCTTTACGAGCCATGACTTGGCTACGGGAGAAAACCTCACCCATCCAGGCACCACCTCTTTTCTCTGAAGGGCGAGAGTATGGATCAAAGTAAAAGTAAGCGATTGGGCTTCCAGAAGAATCTTTAACACGGTAGAACCGAACATCGCTGTTCCAGACCTTCAGATTAAAAATAGATATGTCAATTAACAGGATTTAACTAATTATATCACATGCCAATGCAACAGATAAGAATTTACCGGAGCTACACCATCTGCTGGTTCAATATCAACTCCAAATAATGTCTTCGCTAGACTGAAAAGTCCATCCATAACCTTTGGCAGGGAGAAGTATGGACGTAGTTCTTCCTAAAAAGAACAAAATGATAAATAAGAATCATGACTTTCAAAACAATACAGTTATATCACAAGTTAGAGAAGGACTAAGAACCTCATTAATATCGAATTTGGATTCACGAAGCCTCTCACTCCAGAAAGTGGTGTCCCAGTGGGCCAAGCTGCCAGCTTCTTCAGCACCTTGGCTCTTTGCGAAACTCTTGAGGTCTTCCATGTCTAATTTATACAATAAAACGAACCACGAAAATCAAAGTTCTGTCTTTGATAGTCCACAGAATCTCATACTATATCTGACTGTTACAACAGTGGTGAACATGTTACCTTGAACAGCTGGACCCCAGGAAGCACTACGAAGCTTCTCTAAAAGCTCTGCTGCTTTCTCAACAGTGGCCATTTTCATAGCCATGCTTACCTAAAAAAAATAGAGAGCTACATTTAGCCAATTAGAAAGAAAAAAAAAAGTTTTACTTAGATTGATGAGTCTACCTCAGCGTAATTGTTGTAACCAAGAAGCTTAGCTTTTTCCAATCGAAGCTTCAAGATTTGGTCAATTATAGCTGTATTATCCAAATCACCAGAAGAAGCACGAGACAGGTACGCACGGTAGACTTCCTCACGCAGAGTACGGTTTTTGGAATGTTGCATGACAGGGAGATAACTAGGACCATCCAGTGTAATAACCCAAGGTCCATTCTCAGCAGTTGCATTTTCATGACCCTTGTGTCACACACACATATCACGAAAAGCAAAACTGAGAAAAAAAACAAGAAAATTTGCATATATATATTATAGTTAATATCGGTACCTTGGACACAGCAGCTTGTGCAAATAGCCCAAGAGCACTTGGAGGCAACCCATCCATCTCTTTCTTGTCAGTTATCAACTTTTCAAACTTCTTTGTAGCATCCAAAACATTCTCCGAAAACTTATGTGAAAGTTTCTCGAGTTCCTTCAACCCAAAACAAAAAAAGAATAAGTAAGCATATTAATAAAGAAGTTGACATCTATTAGTGTGGATTAAATCAAACCTGTTCAATTTTGTTAAACTCTTCTCTCTTTTCATCATCAAGAGCGATACCTGTGAGAACAGCCTCCTTTATTTGTGCTGAAACAGTGATGGGAACAACACTTAGCAACATCTATTACACCAAAATTGCTTCTTCTTTTTTCTTCTTTAAATTTAATATAACACTAAGAGAAATTGCATATATATAATATATGTTCTTCCATAGAGTAAATCTACTTACCTTCTACTAAACGTTGACGAGCTTCACTAAGCGATGACCAATCAGGAGATTCACGAATAGCTTTAAACGCCTCGTATATAGGCTTGCTTTGCCCCAACCTGAGCTGAAACTTCACCTTCTCCGGCTGCACAAAAGAAAAACACTACAGATAAGCAAAAACAAAGAAAATGAACTCCACATTAAAAAAGCATGAGAGAATAACACTAAACCTGAACGTCTTCAATGGCAGCACGAAGCTCAGGAGTGTCCTTAACAGCCTTGAGATGATTAATCACTCCCCAAACAACACTCAACCGATCAACCAGTTTCTCTAACGGCTCAACAAGTTTCGGCCATGACGGCTCCACTGATCTCTCTAACTGCTCCAACTCACTTTCCTGGAAAACAATAATCAGTTATTCTTTATGTATTTTAACTGATTTCAAATCCAAATCAGTTCAAAATCCATTGCGAAATCATATATAATTGAACATAACCAAATAACATATAGTTTCAAATCCAAATCAGTTCAAAGTCCATTGCCAAATCAAATATGAATGAATACAACCAAATAACATAAAGTTTCAAATCCAAATCAGTTCAAAATCCATATCAAATACTCCCTCCGTTTCGAATTAGATGTCATTCTAGTGGAAAAATTTCGTTTCAAAATAAGTATAGTTTTAGAGTTTCGACACAAAATTTATTATGTTTATATGATATTCTATTTTCTATTAGTTGAAAAGTGGTTAGGTGTATTGGTAATTGTATTTTTATATTGAAAATATATAAAATTAAATGTTTACTTAATCTGTGTGTAAAAAACTAAAATGACAAATAATCTGAAACGGATGGAGTATGATTGAATACAACCTCCAATAACTATAATCATGAAACGAATAACATTGGAAGAGAACATACTAGTTGCTGCAGAAGAGTTCGAATCCCGGGACGAACATGCTCAGCATCAACGGAATCAAACGGAGGGAAATCGAAATCCCGCGATAAAGGATTCAATTCGAGACAACTATCATCGGAGACGGAAGAAGATCCAACGGCGGCGGAGACGGCGGAGGACATGGAGGGAGGAGAGGAGGAGAAGTGGCGGAAGGGGAGAGAAGTGGAGGTGGAGGTGGATCTAGGAGGGAGGCAGAAGGAGAAAGAGGAAGACCAGATGGGGCAAGGATATGATTTATGGAAAGTCGAGGGACGAAAGTGAGAAGAATAAGAAGAAGAGGAGAAGAATTTGGCGTTTCGGAGTTTGGGAGGTGAACGGCGAAGGAGGAGGAGGTTGAGAGAGGCTCGAGACGTTGTGGTCGTCGCCATTAGAGTGTTGGCTATAACGAACGTCGCGATTATTGTTATTCTCTTCATATTTTTTCGGGGTTTTTTTTTCTCTTTATCTCTTTGAGATTTTTTGTTTTGAATGTGATTATGTGAGGTTGCTACTCTATCGATGTGGCAAAAAAGGTTAATTTTGTCAGTTAAAAATAGGCCTAGGCGTTCGGGTACCCGTAGGCGTTCGGATCGGGTTTTTCGGATTTTCGGGTTTTCGGGTTTACGCTCATAGGTCCCATTCTAATATTTTACTAGTACGGGTCGGGTTCGGATAATAACACTTCGGGTTCGGTTCAAATTTGTATTGCAGCATAAAACCCGTAAAGTAACCATATATCGTTCGGATTCGGGTTATTTCGGTTCGGTTCGGATATACCCGAAGTATAAAACAAAATTTCTAAACAAAAACATAAAGAAAAATACTAAAACTTAATATAAATCAATCATACATACATAAAATTGATAAAAAAAATGCTAAATCAGTCCTTAAAACATACATCACTTGTAAACAATGTGCATTACCTTACATATAAACTAAATTTATTATTTTAATGAACAAATTACAAAGTACTTATTTATAACTAATTATATATTTAAGGTATTTATTTATATTTTAATATTTATTGTATGTATCATATCAAAATAAACATTAAACTGAATATCTAAAATATTTATATATGTATATATATATTTAAAATATTTATATTAACTATTAATTTCGGATATTTCGGGTTACCCGTTAGGGTTCGGTTAAATAACACTTCGGGTTCGAATTTTTTTATACTATCCTATAAGACCCGTTCGGGTATTTTTACATTTCGGGTCGGATAACGGGTCGGGTTTTTCGGTTCGGGTTCGGTTTGGATTAATTTCGGGTTTCGGATTTTATGCCCAGGCCTAGTTAAAAACGTGATGCTAAAGTAAATTAGTTTAGTTACATCACCAAGAGCTAGCGCTAAATGGATACTAAAATATTCAGATTGAAATTTTTTATGATGGTAAATGGTAATTAAGAAGAAATGCAATAAAAATAGATAGTGTTCAGAAGAGTATTAAATCACAAGCTGGAATAGCAATACAAATAGATAGTATTCAGAAGAGTGTTAAAACAAAAGCTGGAATAGCTCAGTTGGTTAGAGCGTGTGGCTGTTAACCACAAGGTCGGAGGTTCGACCCCTCCTTCTAGCGTTTTCACAATTTGTCCCTCTTTTGTTCCTTTTTATTTTAGGTGAAAGTGGCCCACAAAGTCACAAGTCACGATACACATGTTAATGACTTGTTTGGGCGAGAGGATCTAACTGCCCGACAAGCCACGTTCGAGCTGGTAAGGATATAGTCTGTGATGTCGTGTCCATTATACGACAACAACCCCACCGTTTTTTTTCCCAGTTACTTTCATCAGCTATAATGATAGAACTGTGGAACATATATTTTGATATGTGTAGTATACGTAAATATAAATTAGTCAAGATACTTAAGATTGGCAAAAGAAGGTTAATGAATTTTACGAATTTGGCAAAAGAAGGTTAATGAATTTCACGAATCGGAAGATATCGTTTTACTACCAAATACAGATGACTTACAACAACACACCACCAAAATCTAATAAGTTCAACACAATGAATGCTGCATGCCTCCAAAAGACAATAAATTATATGATTGGACCGACTCTACCTTGTAGGCCATTCATCTATTTTTACCTCAAAACTCTTTCGTTGATTATAAAATCCAAATAACTCACTCATTATCTTGGAATGAACATTATACATACACATTATTTTTACATATTATTATTTATTTTGTTTTTATTTACATATAATAAAATAACAAATATATTGACAAAAATAAGGAAGTAATATATATATAATTAAACTGCAGTAAATACATAAATCAAAATAAATAAATAAAACAATCATATTTAAACGATATTGATATAGATATATAATATTCTAATATAAATATTGAATTGATATTTTCTAGTTCCTGTTCATTTGAACTTTTTTATAACAAAAGTTCATTATAAGTTTTTTTAACAGTTTTAATAATTTATAGTCGTTTTAAAAATCAAAATATAATATATGAACACAAAATTTAAAGTTTTATTAGATTAATTAAATCATTTAATTTATTTAATAATAAATTATTAGAAATAATGAATGATACCAAAATTGTTATCAAAATTTTATTATTCAAAATTATTAATTGTCATGTGTATGTTAATTATATTAGATATTTTTTTCTTACTTTTTATTAAAAAAATATAAATATTTTTTATACACTAATTAATTTAATAAAATTTAATATATATATAAATGGACTGATCTATTCTTCTACAGATTCTAAGAACTATATTAGTATAACACATGGTTACATTTAAATTTTGTAATCCTCCTCAATTAATGTATAAGAGATTTGATAGTTAATTTAATACCAACCTATTTAAAAAAAAAAGTTTCTCAGATTTATCCTACACAAAGTTTATAATGGTCTAATATATAAGAGATATTAAAATACAGGAGTACTTATCTTTTCTCTCACCCAAAAAATGGACAGAGATCTAACTCTCACCAACCACCATAAACCATCATACTTCACCGGTCGATGCTTGAGTTCTTCGTCGTCTTGTCTCTCGTTCTTACACAGGGAAACCGAGTACACTCGGATCAGTAACCACAACAAGAAGACAAAGTCAAGTCATAGGTTAAAGAATCTCCTTAGAAGGTTGTTATTTATGGTTACAAGCTGCGGTCTCGAGAACGCAAAACCGAAGAGGTTGATAAAGTTTCACTACGATGCTGTGAGTTATGCTCAGAACTTCGACGATGGATCTAACTTGCGTGATGATGATCGTAAGGTTTCCAGAAGTCTCCGACGAACACAGAGTCTCCATTCATTAGCTAATACAGTATAATATATTCGGTTTCTTTTTTAATTTTGTTATATTTTATTTTCGAACATGATATCAAATTTCGTATCTGCCCTCGAGCTATGTTATTATCTGATTAATTTGTCTTTGTTTGACAAAGTTGGTCCCTGCTCGAGAGGATGTTTATTACATATGTATCATGCACTTTTGTTTAATGAGTAAATATATATACCAATAGTTATGTTTTTCTATACTTTATATTTGTGTTTAGTGCTCTTCTGAGATGAACTTGGTCAAAGCATAGAAAGACGAATGATTTGAAGGCAAATGTAACTTGTTATGTTATTAGGCTATTGTTTATTCGTTTGATCAGTAATGTTACGTGGTTGTTTAGCATATAGACTACGTTGACTAACAAAATAAAACTCCGTGGTTACAGGGATTTGATTCGTATTCGTTATTATTTTATTCTTTTTTACATTACAAGTATTGGTAAAATGTGTGTTTAAACCTTCTTTTAGCTTCTACATGCACATTGAAAACTCAGTCTTGTTCTTTTCCTTTCTTATTGCTCTCCCTTTTGTTAGCTCTTGACATCAAGTCTCATGTTGGGATCAACAATAACTCGCTTGTTTCCTCTACCTACACTTCCTGGACCGCAAGCTTGCACAGCCAAGGCGCATGCCATGCACGGTTCACGTATGACTATCTCTTGGAAGAGAGTTATTTGTGACAACTCATTTGCTCTGTTTCATTTGTTATTATCATATAAATAAACATTTTGCTATTTATTGTAGAAGTATCTCTATTTACTGCACTTGGTTGTAGTTTCATTGTGTTCTGTCTATATAAAAAGTTTATTCTGCAAGTATTATATTCTCTCGTCTCATTATGTTTTTTTCTGCAAGTTTGATTGTTAACTCATCTTCAACCTTTTTTAGAGACAACACCTAAGGCTATGTAGAACGTTGATAGAGCATTATAACGGTAAGACATACCATATCAAAGCTGAGATGTAATAATATTTTATCTTGCTTTGACTCTTTTAAGTTTATGACTGCAAAGTATATTACCATTCAAGAACGTTTTACTTTCTTTTTTTTTCTTCCAAATTTTACCATATTTAGAAACATAATAATGAGTTTGACAAAGTCAAACTGTTTGTCCTATTGGTTTGACTTTGTGATTTAAGAAAAAGTAAAACATAAAGAAAATTCATGTGATTAGGAATCACTGATAGTGATCTGTTGAGAAAAAAAACAAGCCTCCTTTTCTTGACCATTCTTCTAGCTCCTGGCTGCTTTATTTGATAATCTTTTAGATCATCTACCATCTCATCTCTAAATCTTTCCTTCTCCTTCCTTCTCCATGGCCAAATCAATCTTGTTTATTTTCTTCCTCCTTCCTTTTGTTGTTGATTCACTTTACTTCAACATCACTAGTTTTCAACCAGGTGATAACAACATAGAATACCACGGTGATGCAGAACCTGATGGAGATGGAACTGTGAACTTCAACAGCGCTCGTCTTCCATCTCAAGTTGGTTGGATTACATATTCAAAAGATGTCCCCATATGGAGTCCTAGCACTGGTAACGCCTCTGATTTCAACACTAGCTTCTCTTTCAGAATCGATGTTCGTAACCTCTCATCAGATAGTCATGGCTTATGTTTCTTTCTTGCCCCTGTGGGAGCTCAGCTCCCTGCATACACTCCTTCTGGTTTCTTAGGTCTCTTTGGTCAAGATAATGATTACAAATCTTCTTTTGACCTCGTTCATATTGAGTTTGACACGTTTAGAGACCCTTGGGATCCTAGAGATGTTGCATCTCACGTTGGGATCAATAATAACTCTCTTGCATCTTCTAACTACACTTCTTGGAACGCAAGTTTGCATAGTCAAGATATTGGTCATGCACATGTTACTTATGATTCTGTTAACAAGAACTTGAGTGTGTCTTGGGGTTATGAGCTGACAAGATCTGCTAAGGAGAATTCAAGTCTTTCTTACATCATTGACCTAGCTAAGGTTCTACCATCAGAAGTTATGTTAGGGTTTATAGCTGCTGCTGGAGCCAACACAGGTGAACATAGACTCTTGTCTTGGGAGCTAAGTTCAAGTCTAGAACCCGAAAAAGCCGACAACAAGACAGGGCTTATAATAGGCATTGCTGTTGCTGGTTTTGTTCTCTTGACCTTACTGGTTGCTGTGATGGTTTGGTGGAGGAAGAGGAAGAACTCAAGAGAGATAACAAACATGGTGTTGTCATCATCAATAAATGAAGACCTAGAAAAGGAAACAGGAGGGCCAAGGAAGTTTTCTTACAAGGATCTTGTGTCAGCAACAAACGGATTCTCACACCAAAGGAAGCTAGGTCAAGGAGGTTTTGGAGCGGTGTATAGTGGGAAATTAAAAGAAATCAACATGATGGTTGCGGTGAAGAAGCTTTCTTGCGGCTCAAGGCAAGGAAAGAAAGAGTTCTTAAACGAAGTTAAAGTCATCAGCAAGTTAAGACATCGAAACCTAGTGCAACTCATTGGTTGGTGTAATGAAGAAAACGAGTTCTTGCTTATATATGAGTTAATGCCAAACGGTGGCTTGAACTCTCACCTCTTTGGTAAAAGAGAAGAGATACTATCTTGGGACACAAGGTACAAGATAGCTTTAGGTTTAGCTTCTGCTATACTTTATCTCCATGAAGAATGGGATCAATGTGTTTTACACAGAGACATCAAGGCGAGTAATATAATGCTTGATAGTGACTTCAACGTCAAGTTAGGTGATTTTGGGCTGGCTAGGGTTATGAGTCATAAGCTTGATTCTCACAAAACAGGATTAGCTGGAACTTTTGGATACATGGCTCCTGAGTATGTTATGACAGGTTGTGCAAGTAAAGAATCTGATATGTATAGTTTCGGGATAGTGTTACTAGAGATTGTCACAGGGAGAAAGTCCTTGGAGAGACAAGCAAACAGTGATGATGATGATGATGATGATGATTCGGAGAGTGATGAGAAGAGTCTTGTGGAGAAAGTGTGGGAGCTTTATGGGAGGAGAGAAGAGCTGTTGAGTTCAGGTGTAGATGAGAAGCTTGGTGATGATTTTAATATGGAAGAAGCTGAGTGTCTTTTGGTTTTAGGGTTATGGTGTGGTCATCCTGATAAAAGTGCGAGACCATCTATAAAACAAGCGATACAAGTTATGAAGTTGGAGTCACCTTTGCCTGTTGATCTTCCGTTGAAGAGGCCTGTTGCTACTTATTACAACTCGACTTCTTCTTCTTCTCCTCCTTCGGTTAACTCTAGTAGAGCTTCCATAACGTTCTCGAGTAAGGAGATTGGTCGTTAGCTGAAGATTATTTAAAGTTATTTCACTCTATGTTCTCTGTATTATCTTTAATTATAATTGTTTATGGACTTGAATCGTGTCTATTCTTTGTGGGATTATCTTTAATCCCTGTATTAATTCGCAATTTCCTTTCTGTTTTTCTTAGTATATGTAGTCATGAAAAACTCTTTTGTAACATATTTGTTTTGGAGATTCGAATGTGAAAAAATAAAGTATCATGATAGAAAGTTTTTTTTTGTGCAAATTGCATGTTCCTTTTTTGTGGTAAAAATTGCATGTTTCTTTGTCTTCTCTCTGTCTCTTCTTTCTTCTTATGGTTATGTTCGCATTAGTCATTTTCTGTAGTCTTTTTTTTTCAACTTCAACGAAATGTTTAGGAAATGATGTAAAATGTGTTTTTTGTCATAAAGTTTGACTACTAAGATTTTAATAAAACGTCCATAGTCTTGGTCAAATTGGCCAAAAAAAGTAATGGTCAACTTTGATACGTGGAATGTTGATATGGTCCGAATAGCCACCGGAAGGTCCACATAGGTAGTCTCAGGATGAAGCCATCATAGGCTTTAGGCTATTCTCAGGATAAAGCCCAAATAAATACTAATGGGCCTCCACGAATCAGCACTTCGCTCTTTCTTTTCAATTCTCGTGATTAGCTTCACATGTTTCAATTCTCATTTTTCTTCTCTTGTTTCAAGTCTTTAAGATCGAGCTCATAGATATAAATGCAGAACAGTTATAATGAAAAAGTCGGTCAAATTACGGCTGGAATAAATGGGAACATGGCGGGTAAATCAGGTGGTATGGTATATACGGTTCTACAACGTTTGATAACGATATTACATTTGACCTATCTCTTTAATGAAACTGTGTCTTTTCACCTTAAGTCATTTTTGTGTCATGTCTCTTTCTGGCTTTAACCAATCCAAAGCAATATATAAACAATCTGTTTAAAACTCACAAAAGAATAAATTAATCAAAAATTATGTTCACTATGGAGAGAGTATTAGCTTGTTAATTAGAAGCTCCTTTAATTATATATAAATTTATACGTGAAAGTTCTAAACTCGAAAAGAAACATAACAAACATATTAAAACATCATTATTGTAGGTTTCTTAAGGTGGATTTTTTAGAGAAATATAAGAAACTATTTCTTAACTTTTCAATTAAAAATTAAAAAACAGTTTCTTATATTTTCCAAAGAACCTCGTTCTAATAAACCTGCAATAATGATGCTCTTCGATCACGAGTGCATATGTTGATTAATTTCCAGTAGTAAATTTGCATGATTCTCTGAAAAAATGGCTATCAATGGTTATATATATACATGAAGAATTGTTTTGAAATTAAACTCGGCGTGTAAGATTATCATTACTTACAATTGCGGTAGATGGTTTTGGATTTATTATAGGTTAGAAACAAAACAAGAAAATGTACCAGAGGGTGATCGGTTAAGTCTCACGAGAGATCCATTCTTGAGCTCTCACATGTTTCCCATTTTATCTTCTCCGTTCTCTCGTGTTTCTTCACAGATAGAGACGTTTACTCAATCATCGAAACACAATCTTCTCTCATTTTATTTTTGGACGTATTATTTATTAGAATATTTATATATGTTGTGTGTCTTTATTGAGGACATTGCCTCAACAGTTTGTAATTGGGGTTTAATACTTGTACACAGAAAATTTGAATCTGACTCTGATGGCAGTTCACTTCAAGCACACAGCAAGTGTAAATATTGTGAGTATTTAATCATATGTATTAGCGATACAAAAGAAAAAAAAGAAAAAAAAGAAAAGGCGTTATAAAAGATGTCAGAGAATTCTTTTACGAGTTAATGTTCAAGTTTTTAGTATTAAGGAAATAATTTCACAAAGATGTCAGAAAGTTAAAAAAAGCTAATATTATATGACTGAAAGCTATAAGTATAGCTGCATGTATAAAGAAGTATATATTCTGATAAGAGAAAGAAGTATATATAATATAGTTAACGTATAAAGATTGGTGCAGTGCATACTTCACACCTAGAAGAAAACGTTACCTCAACAATAGAAACAAGACACATAACAAATTCTATCCGATTTGTTCCGTTTAATTGCACAGTTATATATGTTCTTCTGTCTTTTTCTGGCACTTATGTATCCCTCTCTCCTCTCTCTCTCTCTCTCTTTATACACGCATACAAAGACTTAAACACAGATAAAATTTATGGTGAACTAATCAAATGTAATAAAAGAACACCACAGTTTTGACAAAATGGCGGTTTACGAGTAATACATGTGGATATTTTGTTTTACTATAACTTCTTCAATACATGGCCAACAAATTTTTGAAGTGTTTTATCTCATATAGAGTTGCCCAAACATGTTAAATATATATTTACTTTGTTGGCAAAACAAAATAACACTCTTGTACGATAGTTACCAACAAAGTTTACACCCAACAAATATCACTATTTGGTTGCTTAGAACATAAAAATTTCGGATTTTTTTTTGCTAAGCTATATATATACATAAATTAAACATAAGGATCATATTTTCTCCATTCTTCAATTTTATGTGCAAGTTGTAAACATTACTAATCCTTTTAATAATGTCTTATAAAATGAAACAAAACTCTAGATATTAAAGTGTCATTGGATATAAACACACTGTTTCAATATAATATAAATACAAATACAAAATCAAAGAATCAATAAGTACTTTAACTTTTACCAAAAAAAATATATCAAAGAAGTAACTCTTTGAGAAAAAAGAAACTTTTCTATTGCTAAGTCATTAACAAAATAAAAGTAATTAAGTCTCGTTCTCCAACTTTTTGAAGACAAAAACACTTTTTCTTTACTTCAAATAAATCAATATCTGTAGCTAATTATGCTAAAGTGACTTTTCTATAATACAAAGTGACTTTTTAAAAACATAAACCCGATCATATATATGCCCACATATATACACTGAATTTATATATAAATAAACACCACACGAAACACTTTCACCGACTGTTCCTCAAACCTCTATTCTCATACTTTACTTATTTCCTTCAAACCAAGAAATCTAAAAAGGCATACAAACTTTTCTTCTCTCAACCCATCATCATCACCATGTCCTCCCATACCAATCTCCACTCTCCTACACCACACACAAAAAAACCACCGTCCTCCTCCACTTCACAAGACAACCAAACCCTAAAATGCCCTCGTTGCAACTCCTCAAGCACAAAGTTCTGTTACTACAACAACTACAGCCTCTCTCAGCCTCGTCACTTCTGCAAAGCTTGCCGCCGTTACTGGACACGTGGCGGTGCCTTAAGAAACGTCCCCATCGGTGGTGGTTGTCGGAAAACCAAAAAATCATTCAAACCTAACAACTCAGTGATAACTCCATCTTCTTCCTCATCTCAGAGATTCTTCTCTTCGATCATGGAAGACTCCTCCAAGTTCTTCCCTCCTCCAACGACAATGGATTTTCAGCTCGCTGGTTTATCTCTCAACAAAATAAATGATCTTCAACTTATGAATAATCAAGAAGTTCTTGGCCTTAGGCCCATGGATCAGGTCGAGACCACACCCGTTGATGTCGGGTCGGGTTTGTCCTTAATGGGTTTTGGAGACTACAGCAGCAACAACAACAACAACCATTCATCGGGGACGTTCACAACCGAAGGAAACTTGGCTACTTCTATAGAGACTTTGAGTAGTTTAAACCAAGATTTGCACTGGAGACTTCAGCAGCAGAGGTTGGGTATGCTTTTTGCTACCTCTAAAGAAGAGACTGTCGTTGTCGAGAGGCCACAGCCGATACTTTACAGGAATCTTGAGATCGTGAACTCGTCGCCGACCAAGAAAGGAGATAATCAGACAGAGTGGTATTTTGGTAATAATAATGATAACGAAGGGGTGGCTAATAATAATAATAATAACACAGGAGGAAGTGAGCAATGGAGCAATGGGGTTCAAGGTTGGACTGATCTTAACCATTATAATGCTATGCCATGATTCTTGGTAAGTTAAAAGAAAATATATTATATGATCAGAAAATTATGTGTGTTTGTTATGTAATGCCAAAGAATATTTATGTTTGTAGTATTTGTTATGTTTGAGTGTTCTTTGTAGTCACCTTTTGTTGATGTTGTTGGTTACTATTTTAGTATTATAAGTTTCAATTTGTAAACAAAAAAACCAAAATTCAAGAATGGAGAAATATACTGTAATAGATTCTCTAAACTTGCGACTTTTCTGTGCTTATAATTATTTCGATATTGAAAAAATTCGAAACAGGATTTACTGTGCTTAAAGCTTAATTATTGAAAGGCTCATGGTTTGGTAGTGAAATGGTTGTTTTTTTTTATCCCAGGTTAATTATAATTCAAAAATGTCTTGTAACGTCAATTTCAGTAAACAGACAATGTTTCCTTGGGATTAGTTATAGACTTACTATTACCTTTAAATAATCGTACTTTATTTTGACAAGTTTAACTGAGCCTAATTATACCATGTCTCGAGCCAAGCAAAATAATTGCCCATCCACATCTCTGGTGAAAATTAAAATCTCAATAAATGGTGTGTAATATTCGTTACAACATCGACAGTTCTGCTGTAAATTCTGTCAGTGAAGTGTGGTCTAATTCATGTACATTCAAGCATATAGCATCTTATAAGTCACTGAACTATGTCGAGTCTACGTGAAACATAGAGACCAGGCATTAGCCTTTTCTGCAGTCTCTCTTTAGCCCCATCCTTATTAGATTCTCGCTATATATACATGAACACACACACATACACACACATATATATATATATATGCTAGTATATGTATTGATGTACATCTTATTACTGATCTAGGGAAGGTCTGCGACTGCAAGTACTAAGTTTTTATGCAGAAGTAGGCATGTGCAAACGGACTAGTTCGACGAAATACGAACATTGTTTTTTTTTTGGTAAAAATCCGAACGTTGATTATTTCAAAAATTGCATAATAGTGCTTGAATTGTGTCAAAAGCAAACACAAGTAACACAACACTACAGGTTCTGGAAAAGTATATATTACACAGGGTTTAGATGCATGTATAGATGATAATCATGAATTTGGTTTAAATTTGAACGCTTCATTTGAATATGTGTGGTTCTAAATAGTAAAGAGAAGAGACTGCCTTTGATCCACTTTAATCTGTCTCTAGAAGAAAATTAACTTGTAAATCATAATCTACTTTAAAAATAGTTTT